TCTTGACAAGGAAAAAGTCAAATGACATGCCAGGGAATGCCGAGTCCTGCAGCTTGCATAAATTAAGCCAATGGGGGAATGTTTTTAAGCTGATGCTGTTAGGATGCTGATAAACTGGCGCATGGTGCTCCCGACCCCGATCTACCCAGTCAGACAGCTTGACCTCGGCAGCCTTCCTCCAGGTGCCAACTATGGGAAGGGCCTTTCCTGCTGTGGCCTCTCATCCTTGGAACCACCTCCGCCCTGCAGCCCGCCTGGCACCCGATTTGCCAACTTTTCAGCACCAGCTTGAGCCAGCTCTCCTTGCGGAGGCATTTAAATATCTCCCTGGTCATGCAGGGGCCTGACGTGATTAACCTGGTGCCTTTCTTTTATTCTTGGCCAGGCCTTTTTTATTGCCTTGTAATGTTCTTTTATGCTGTTTTAAATTAATGTTTAATCCCTGTTCATGTTTTTATCTATTGTATTGCCCTGTTTTTATACTTTGTTGTAAACTGCCCAAAGAGCTTCAGCTATGGGTGGTATAGAAGTTCAATCATCATCATCATCATCAACAATAAAGAAATTAGGAGAGTAAGCACTCGGAGGAGGGCTTTCTCTGCGGTGGCGCCCAACCTATGGAATTCACTCCCCAAAAAGGTCCGCCTGGCGCAGTTGTTACTTGTTTTTCGGCGCCAGGTAAAGACCTTTTTATTTAAACATCATTTCAATTGTTAAAACATATGATCTGGCCAGGGCAACTTCTTCTTCCTTCTCTTTTCTCCTCCTATATTATTTATTATTTTATACTGATAATTTTAATTTTATATTATTATGTTTGTAACTCAGTGTATTTTTTGTATTTTTGTATTTAATGGTAATTTATTATGTTCGATTGTATTTCAATGTATTTTATTGTGTTGTAAGCTGCCCCGAGGTTTCGGCAAGGGGCGGCAAGAAATGTTATAATAATAATAATAATAGTTGTTGTTGTTATTATTATTATTTTGGTGCTTGATTGGTGTAGTCTTAAAATACAGGCTTGGCTGTGCTGTCCCCAGAGTTTGCTTTGCTCTCTCTTTCTAGCTGTCCCCAGGGAAGATTCCCCGCTCTGGTTCTAGTTCTGGTTCTGGGTACAGAGGGCCAAGGAGCCACGGCTGGGACCAGCCTTCCACGCGAGCGTGGATGTTTTATAGAAAGACGTGGTCGGCCAAAGCACGTCTAATGGACACCGATCCCTACGGCACACAGCACAGCAGGTGCTTCTGCAAAGCGCCTCGCTGTATCTTGTGACAAAGCGCTTCGCTCAAGCTGCGCAAATCGCCCGGCATGTACAGAGAGCCCACGCTTTGCACATGCACAGAGTCGGGTTCGTCACCCGGAAGCTGGGCAGCACTTCTCGGTTTTGAGGGGCTGCGATCTGGGGCTGGCGCTACCAGGCCGGGTGGCCCAACGGAAGGGTGGATCCAGCCCTCGTCTGTGGGTCCGCGGAGGAGCTCCTGCGCACAGGAGACGGGCGGCTTGGCGGAGGGGCTGCAGCTTGGCGATGGCGCACGCACTTCGCTGGAGAACGCTCCAAGTTTAACTTCTGGCATCGACACGCGGGGCCGCCCCCCCCCCCCCCATGTTCCAGTCCCCCACCCCGCTCACAACGGCCAAGCAGCATCTGGTGCTTCTTAAAACTTCTGGGTTCCCCCAGACCCGCTGCTCCCACCTCTGTGCACATCTGTTTGCGGAGGGGAATGCTCCAGAAATACGGACCGGCACCCGGAGCCCTCATTTGCTGCGCTGGGGCACATGGGCATGCTACAGGTAGAGTACAGCGGTTGTGGGTGGCCTCTTCCTCCTGCAAAAATGGGACCAGTCCTCTTGCGAAGCCATTCAAGTGAATGGGAACGACGGCACCGTGCTCAAGTGAGTTCGGAGCGAGACCTGGCCAGGCGTCCTCGGGGCGGCGTGGCGCTCCCAGCTCAAGCCCCGGAATCCCCCCACAGTGCTTCTCCGACACTTCTAAAGGACAACATCCGCTCTCTCTCTCCCTCTCTCTCAAATACATCAGGGGAATGAACGTGCTGGGTGTTTTTATGACTAGTTGTCGGCTGTATCAGCATTTATCTTATACATTATATTGTAAAATTCCACGGAAGAGCTCTTGCCCTCCAAAGTGGGCTAGAAATATTTTAAACAAACAAAAATAATCTATTGTCTTTCTGTCTTTCTGTCTTTCTGTCTGTCTGTCTGTCTGTCTGTCTTTCTTTCTTTCTTTCTTTCTTTCTTTCTTTCTTTCTTTCTTTCTTTCTTTCTTTCTTTCCCTGCAGGGGCAGCGGGAAATCTTTTAGCAGATCTTCTTCATGCCATGAAAAAGACAGGTATTGTTTCTTAATAAAGAAGGCCTTTCATCAAGCTAAGGGGGTAATGCAGACAGTTCCTACCCAGATTCGAGACTGAAACGCAGAGAGAGAGCGAGCGAGCACACGCCTCCCTCAGCTGCTGGTTCAGCTGCAATCTCCAAATTTTGCCAGTTGCCATGGAGATCAGCAAGAGATAAAAATTCACCCCCCCCCACAGGCAAGCATATCCAAATAACCCATTTTTCCATCCAATGTGCTTTTTCGTCTTCTTTAAATAGCAGCTGGCTTCTAGCGCGTGTTTGTCTGTGTGGGGGGAAGCTCTCACACATGCCCAGCGCGGCTCTGGTCTCATTTCATCGCCATGGCGTCTCCATCAGGGAGCCCAGGAAACGGCAGGTGTCTGAGGATGCGAGGAGCGGCCTGCCATGGGACGAAGGAAGGGGCCGCTCAGAGGGGCAGCACCGGCCGGGCGTGCAGGTGCAAGGCCTCAGGGGCTCAGCCGCCAGCGTCTCTGGTTGCAAACGGACCGGATTGCCGGCCATGGCAGGGGGGCAGGGGCACTCCGTGACTTTTGACAGTCAGAGTCCCCAGCAGGGAGCGAGCTGGGCCATTCTTGGAAGGCAGCGCTCCGTGTTTCCTGGGGAGGAAGCCCTAACATGGGTGACCAGACCACGCGGTCCAAGAGGACGCTCCAACCGCGTGTGGCATCCCCTGCAGACGCTACGCAGGGCCCCTGGCGAACGGGAAGGACGCTACAGAGACCATTTCCGAGCCCCCTCCTAAAAGAGGCATGAGCTGGAGGCTGGGAGACAGACAGGCAGCCCACCCCCTCCCAGCCGCAACTGCTCTTGGCCGCTTCCCCTTTGGGGGTGGTCAAGAGCCGTACAGGAAGCAGAACTCTCTCGGTAAGGGTGCATGGACGGCCGCCGCTCTGTGGACCCGCTTTGGCGCAAACTGCAGAACGTGATGCGCACGCCGTTGCCGGGGTCAGTGGAGGAGGGCGAATCCCCCTCCTCCACAGACAGAAACTACAAATGTGGAAAGAGAGAGAGCGAGCGCAAAACTGGAGCATGCCCACAGTGGAGGGAATCCAGCTACCGATTCACACAAAGTTGCCGCAACTTCTTTTCCCAGATACCTTTCACCTTTACCCAGAAGACACACAACCTGCAGAGCCCTGGTTCCCCAGTGCCTCGGTTTCCACCTTGGTTGCATGTGCCACAGGCCCGTGTTGGCTTGAGAATCTTCTCCTTGCCCCGCGGAGGCCTGGGAACTGCACTTTTGTGGAGGGACCCCGAACCCTCGTAGGGGATCCACAAAGTTCGCTACATTTCCTAGGCTCCCCGACGGGGAGACATGCCCATAATACCATAATACAGTGCAGGTTTGTCACCCCTCCAGCAAATCACGAAAACACACCCTTCTGAGCGGAGAAAAGCCACATGCTGCCAAGAGGCCACCCACCTGCCCCCGGGGGGCCCAGACTGGCACGTGTCCGGGCTGCGACGAAGCGGGAGGTCTGGCTTAAGACATCGACCCGCGTGAATGTGCCAAGGAACGCTGCCCCACACTCCCCGGCCATGACACAGGCATGGCCGGAGCGCCACTCCGCGATAGTGCCCAGGGATGTGCGAGGCACGACCTCACACTGGCAGCACGGCGGGGGGTCCGGGGCGCATTTCGTAGGCCGCACACGGCTTCTGTGGCGTCTCCAACAACAGTGCTCCCCGCAAGGCAGTGGCCCCATTTTTGTGCGGTCAGGCGGCACGTCCCGGCTCAGGTGGCTCGCGCGGCACCCGCTCCCAACCCCCTTCATGCCCCCCTCCTGCATAACAGCAAAACCCAACACCGTGACAGAACCCACGGGAGTGCCGACCGGCGTCTTCCGTCCACGCTCGGGACCACCCTTGCTTTGCACAATCGCACACACACACTTCACGGGGGCCACGTGAGAGCGGGAATCGAGTGCATGTTCCGGGGAGCAGCTGTGGCGACGCACCAGCAGCCGTTGCAAAGGGGCTGAGGGCGGGGGGGGGGGGATCAGAGCGCCGCTCGCAAGACCGCAGAGTCATCCCCACACGGCCGAAAGCAACAGGGAGGGCGTTACCGTGCTATGAACCGATGACACAGCCAGACTCTGAAGTGCCGGCGACACCTCCACGCCGACAGCGCGAACCAGAGGCCACGCCGAGCAGGCAGACCTGGGGATGTTCGGGGGCGTCCGCCTCCCCGATCCTGCGCAATCTTTACCGTTTCTTCCCTTTCTCCCGATTGGCTTCTTTCCTTTCCTCATTTTTGGCAGTCAGTAGAAGTTAAAATGAACAAGCCACACGAATACCACAACGGTGATAAGGGGTTTGCCAGGGGAGTGCACGGAGGGGGCGGTCTGCAGGAACAGGCACGCAGGCCAAGTGCCCCCCAGGCCCTGCTCCAGCGGAGAGCCACACGGGGGCACGGGGCACCCGGCCAGAAACCGGCTTTTCCGTGTCACAGCAGCACTGTCTGCCTCACCGCAGGAAAAGCAGCGGGCCGGGCCGGCACGCCTTCGGCCAGTCCCGCTGGGTCCAGGGAAGCCTCCGTCCAAGCAGGCACGGCGGAGCAGCCCTCGCCCAGAGCCGCGAGGGGCCGCCCGGTCCGGAGCAGGTCCAGGGGCCTCGCCGGGGAGGCTGGTCACCGGTCCAGGACCCGGGCGAAGTCCTCCTGGGGGCCGCTGCCTTCGTTCTTGAGGTCGGCGAAGACCTGGGTGAAGTAGTGCGGGTCGGCGTTGATCCGGAGCATTTTGGCACTCATGGCGTTGATGATGCGAAGGCACCGGTTCCAGAAGGCGTCCTTGGAGGCCTCCACCAGGAAGGGCTTGAGCGGGTAGGAGATCTCGTTGCCCATGTAGGAGTAGGACAGGTACAGGCAGGTGAGCAGGGCCGCCTGGAGCTCGTGCTCGCTGGCCACCGCGTCCCCGTCGATGGTCTCGCGGCACAGCAGGTAGACGAAGACCACGTTGGCGGGCGTGACGAAGGCCTGGTCCTGCCAGCCCTGCAGCAGGAGCGAGCGGTCCACGCTGCGCAGCCACAGGATGGGCTCCGTGGGCGACAGGTGCTTCAGGCGGAAGCAGCGCCGGGCGAGGAAGGTGCCCAGGCAGCGCAGCAGCTCGCTGGTGGAGGCCTGGACGATGACCCGGCGGGGGGACGAGGCGGGGCCGCCGCCGCCGCCGGGCTTGAGCGCGGAGCAGACCGAGGGGGCCGAGACGCGCTTGGAGCTGAGCGGGGCCAGCGGCTGCCCGCCCCCGTCGAAGCTGGCGAGGTTGGCGCACGAGAGCGACTTCTTGGCGTTCTCGTGGTTGAGGAGGGCCACGTCCTTGGCCTGGGGGCGGTTGTTGTTGTTGTTGTGTGAGGGGCCCTTGCCGCCCACGCGGGAGCCCTTCTTCTTGGTGGAGGCCACCAGCCGCTTCCAGGTCAGGGCCGGGATGAGCACGGAGTGCCTCTTGAGCCCCTTCTCGGCCTTCGGCCCGCCGCCCTTGGCGCCCGGCAGCCCCGCGTAGGGGCCCAGCGAGCTGGAGGAGCCGTCCTCGTAGAGGCTGGCCTTCCGCAGCCCCGGCGACAGGGACAGCACGGTGCCCATGGCGGCGGCGGCGGCGG